CATTTTACCGTAATTCGTGTAGTGCAATAAAATGAGTGATACAGAGGGCGATCAATCGACAATTCAAAGCGTGGCAGATTTGGTGAAATTGCAACGGGACCGTCTCAAATATGTGGAGGGAGTCTTAACGAATTTTGAAAAGACTGGTGAGGTTCGACGGACAAAATCCTATTTCGCTTTGAAATTAACGCAGTGCCAAAACACATACACGGAGTTTTTCGCCACGCATAAACAAATTGTGTGCTCTAACCTTGTAGCTACGGATGAATATTTCACAGACGAAATGGCACTCGTGTTCGAGGAAAAATATGTGTTAGCTTACAGTGCGATTCAAGATGCGCGAGAGGAAAAATTTGCACCGTCTGAACCGATTCCAACGGGATCGCAGGCCTCAGCGCAACACATTGTTCAACGAAATCATTCCAGTGTGCAATTGCCATCGATTGAAATGCCTAAATTCTCGGGCAAACATACCGATTGGCCGAGTTTCAATGATTCATTTACTCGTTTAGTGCATCAAAACCTCGCATTGGATACAATTCAGAAATTTAATTATTTAAAACAAGCATTGCCACCGAATCACGATAGAGACATTCATGAGATGCCGATAACCGAAGCTTTCTATCGCGCCGCATGGGATTTGCTCGTTAAACGGTACAACAGTTCACGAATTCTGTACATGCACCATTTGAACACACTCTACGCGTTGCCGGTGCTACAAAAGGAACGTGCAGTCGATATCAAGTCGGTGTTGAACGCAGCAAATGTGTGCATAACGGCATTTCGACGTCTGAATATTCCAATCGATGACTGTGACCATTGGATTGCCCATTTGATCGCGACCAAATTGCCGACTGAAACTCATCACGATTGGGAGCATCATTGGGGCAGCCACAGTGAAATTCCAACATTTTCTGACCTTGAAAAATTTCTTAATGACCGTTTATTCACTTTAGATGCAATTGAGAGCCGAGGTACCGTACACTCGGTGTCGATGATGAAACCCGTGCATGACTCACACAAAGTCTCGAATACACATGCGAATGACTCGAAACAAATGAAACGAAACAAGAATTTTGAACGGAAATCGTTTCACACAACCACGGCTCGCAACTCAAACACCAATGGAAACAGTAATCCGACGGAGAATTGTCCAGTGTGTAACGGCACTCACGTTGTTCGCCGTTGTCCAACATTCATCGCAAAGGATTGCTTCGAAAGAAAGGCACTCGCTGATCGTCTTAAGCTTTGCCTCAATTGTTTGAGTCGCCAACACCTAATTGCACAATGCGGTAGCGCCAAGAACTGTCTTCAATGCGGCCTACGGCATCACACAATGCTGCATTTTCCCGTTACTTCATCGAATAGCGCTGCGAGTTCAACGAATAACGCCGCGAGTTTCACAAATACCGCCTTTCCAGGGAGACCAGCACCAAATCAGGCGAGTAACTCATTTTCAAATCCTGAAATGCGAACACTCGCAACAAATGTTTTTTCGACCATTCATGCTCCAAAATCTGTCTTGCTCGCGACAGCTCTCATCCCAGTGGAAAACGTGAAAACCGGTAAAGTCACCGTTTTACGTGCACTCATCGACGACTGTTCAGAAGGCACGATTATATCCGAGCATGCCGCCAACGTTTTGGGTCTTCGACGAACATCTGCCATCACCGAAGTCAACGGCGTCGGCCAAAACCATGCTGGAACTAGCAACGAAATAGTTCAGTTTGCATTGCGATCCAATGTACATCGAGATTATCGAGTTTTTGTCGACTTAAGGCTTAGTGTCACATACAACTGAAACTGAAACTGAAACTGAAAATAATTCAATGCAAAGTGTATTGAAAGGCTCCTCTGCCAACAGCGACCGAAACTGAATTCAGTACATTTTGCGACTGAAACTGAAACTAGTCCTCTTGACTTCTTTCTGTTGTTGTGAACAACTGTAGTGCAATGTACTGAATTCAGTTTCGGTCGCTGTTGGCAGAGGGGCCTTTCAATACACTTTGCATTGAATTATTTTCAGTTTCAGTTTCAGTTTCAGTTGTATGTGACACTAAGCCTTTAGCCATCGTAATGAAAGTTGTCACATCTGATTTGCCAAGCCGACGGGTTACGCCCCAAGATTGGCCACACATTCATGGATTAGTGTTAGCTGATCCAACTTACTTCGAACCAGGAAAAATTGATCTGCTCATCGGCTCAGAATGGTCTGCATCGATCATGTTACCAGACACACGCATCGGTCAACCAAATCACCCAATCGCTCGAAATACATACTTTGGGTGGATTTTGCATGGCCAGACAGCATCAATTTCCAAACCAAATTCAGCTAACAATCAAAAGGTCACCATACGGACTCATCACACGTCCATCGACCTCACCTCACTATTTCACGACTTCATCGAAGCTGAAAGAATACCGCAAGAGAAATCGCATACCGAAGAGGAAAAATGGTTTATGGATTTCTTCAAACAAACGCATCATCGTCAACCCAATGGAAAATACATGGTGCGTCTTCCATTCAAATCATACAATTTAGGGCGCTCACATCAAATTGGCGTGAATTGGTTTCATCGTTTGGAACGCCGTTTCAATCGCGTGGAAGGTTTGCGAGAGCGCTACGAAGCAGGTATCAATGAATATTTTCAACTTAATCAAATTATACCTGCTCCATTCCCAGAACAAGCATACGTCACTCACGACGACAATGGAAATGTAATTGTTCGAGCGTGCGTTTTACCACACCACGCTATCATCAAAGAAGACAGTCTCACCACGAAGACTCGAATCGTTTTCAATGCATCGGCAAAAACGTCCAACGGTCGCTCCTTGAACGAAAACTTATGCATCGGTCCTGCACTGCAAAACGAATTGCCCGCTGTAATTCTCAACTGGAGATTGTACGAGTTTGTTTTCACCGCAGACATTCAGCGCATGTATCCTAGGGGGAAAGATCAATTTTTTTTCCTCTGAATAAGCCTCAATATAACAAATAATGATAATTTGTAACGATTCCATGACCTTTTACAAATATTTAACCGATATTTGAATATTTCGCCGATATACCAATATTTCGTACTAAAATTGGTAGAGATATTTAGGTGAAGCGCACTTAAGCTATTGCTCAAGTATCGCGTACTTAGGCCATTGCTCGAGTACCGCGTACTTAAGTACTTATTTATCAGCAAACTTATCATGTCATTTCTAGTGTCATTTATTTCTAGACCAGTACTACGGCAATTAAGTACTATCTTAAGTACGCAGCACTTAAACTTTATCAAGTGTCATGAACTAAACATAATTTCGTAGGGTAATTCATATGTGATTGTTCATAGCTAGGTTTATAGAAAATAGTAATTAAAAGTAAATGTAGATTCTGGTTTCTATTAATTTTTTATTTCATGCATAATCAGTTTTCAAAGATTCGTTTGATATAAGAAGCAGATACAGGTAGAAGTATAGCGTTAGGTACAGCGCTTTAACCAAAAGTACGTGGCACTTTAACGTGAATTTAAACGAATTCGCTGATGTATTGTTATTTTTCAAAAATAAGCGTATATCTGCATATTGGCAGATATCGGCGTACATCGGTCTCTATTGTTCTATATTTTTATGTTGAGTTCACATTAAATGTACACGATCGACACGAATATTCAATTTATTTGACCGATTCACACCAATATACCAATGAATAACGATGAATAGCCAATAACATAGATAATAGCGTACGACCAATTGATCTTTCCCCCTAGCATGTATCGCTGCATTGATATGCATCCTGACGATGTACCATATCAACAAATTTTATGGAGAAACGATTCGGGTGAGTTGCAAACATTTTGCCTAACAACCGTAACATTTGGAACAGCACCAGCCCCTGCGATTGCTATCTCGGTGATGCACCAGATTGCCAATGATGAGAAGGAGAATTTTCCGCACGCCGAATCGATTCTAAAGCAAGAAATGTACGTCGACGATGTACAATCTGGCGGGCATTCGATCGAAAGTGCCTTAGCTAAACGAGATGATTTAATCGGTGCACTCAAATCAGCGGGTATGGAGCTGCGGAAATGGGGCAGCAACCATCCATCGTTATTATCATCGATTCCAATTGAGCATCAATCCATAAATTCAGCGTTAGAGTTCAACACGGACGAAACCGTCAAAACGCTCGGAATGATTTGGCAACCTGGCACCGATCAATTCAAATACAAACTCCGATTTGAACCAGCAAAAATTGCGACGAAACGAGCTGTTTTGTCAACAACTGCTCGCCTCTACGATCCGTTGGGTTACATCGCACCGGTTGTGGTCGTTGCAAAAATCATTCTCAAACGCATCTGGGGCCATAACTCATCAACTCACAATGATGCTCAATCGAACCAAGAGACAGCATTGAATTGGGACGACGTTTTACCAGAATCGCGCAACGAACTTTGGAACAAATTTCTGGTGGAATTGCCTGACATCGAAAAGATATCCATACCAAGATGGATCCAATTTGCGCCGAATCAAATTCAATCAATCGAGTTACATGCATTTTGTGACGGCGCAACATCAGCATATGCAGCAAATGTGTACATACGAATGCAGTACAGCAATGGATTGGTACACACGCATCTACTCATCGCCAAAAGCAAGGTAACTCCAACCAAACCATTAAACATTCCACGAATCGAATTGTGTGGAGCTGAACTTGCCACTCGATTAGCAGTTTGGGTAAAATCAAATCTTCAGATCTCAGTCGATCAAATTCCGATTTACTTTTGGTGTGACGCAACGGTTGTGTTACATTGGATTCATGGAGACATCTCACGTTGGAAAACGTACGTTGCAAATCGAATTAGTAAGATTTTATCATCAACGTCACCCAAACAATGGAGCCATGTTGGCACTCACGATAATCCTGCCGATTGTGCCACTCGTGGATTGACACCGACACAGTTATCCAAGTTCGATTTGTGGTGGAAGGGACCGGAGTGGTTAGTCAAATCAAAAAAGGACTGGCCTACATTCAAACCGGGCGTCATTAGCTTCAGTGAGGATTTGGCAGAAGTAAAGTCATCCGAAATTCATGTTCATGTGAGCATTCAAACCGAATCGATTATGTTTCTGTATTCATCGTTATACAAATTGATTCGGGTCAACGCATGGATTCGTCGATTTCGTCACAACGCACTCAACAAATTGAAACGAATGCAAGGAGAACTGACCGTAGCAGAAATCCAATCCAGTTTGTTCCAGTTGGTCCGTCTCGTGCAAGCGGAAGCATTCGGTAAGGAGATTAAATGTATTTCCAATAATGAACCTTTACCCAAGAAATGTAAAATTAGCGGATTAGCACCATTTTTTGGATGAACAAAATATTGTCCGTGTACGGGGCAGATTGCAACG